GAAACCTTTTACAACAAATGAAAATTGACTGATGACTTGTTTGGCACCACCATCATAGACTTGCAAGTTGTAAAATCTAGCATAATAGAATTGACAAGAATGCAGTTGAAGATTCAGGAAACACAAATCAACAATTTAAAATTGAGTTTGAAAAAATTCATAAGAATAATTCTAGCACAAAATTAGATAGAAGACAAGAAGAATAAAAACTCACCATAAAGCTTTGAATGAAGTTGCAGGTGAAAAAATTTTTATGGCTGCACTCTTCCTTTCATGGAATCAAGCTAGATTATGAGAGTCCTCATGAGAGCCGACACCACCGACAGAGGTTTCTAAATTCAGACTGCCGATATGAGACAAGGAAGAGCAAAAAGACATTGAAGAGGGATTTAAGTTTTTCTTGTTTTATTTTTTTGCATAAAATGGGATTTAAGTATCTAACAAGATATAACGAAATAAAAAAATAAATGGCTAAGATTAAACTTCACGAACAACCAAGATCATCTGTCTTTTAAATAAAAGAGTGCACAGATGATGAGTTTTTGGTACTCATCATGGTGCTGAGCACCAAAACCGTACCCTAAATTTGATTACAGGTACAAAACATTAAACAATGTAGTTTTAAAGAAAAAGAGGAGCAACAAATAAAATAGGTAAAGGAGAGAATCCAAACGCAGTACCATTAATGATGTGTTTGTGGTTTGGACAAATAATATATGAGGTCTATGTGATTCAACTTGGATGATATAGATGGTTTGAGGAAACAAATCTTGGGCTTTGTGACATACTAATAAATTTTGAAATTTGAATTTAAAAGTTGAAATACCTTAATCATTTTTTTATTTCTATTAATTCAGACCTAATCCCCTTACATCTCATATCTCTCACCCTCCATCGGTGATTCATCAATCTCTACTTCCTACCACCCCTCAATGCTCCCTTCTTATGCATTTAGCCTAGCATCTCAACTCTCCCTTTCTGTCTCTTCACCTTTTTCGGCTTTCCCTTTGCTAAAATAGGTTTTTTTTTTAATAGGAAATCTAAGCTCTTTTGATTTGTCATCAACGGGAATCGAAGGAAGGTTCCTTGTGCATCTACTGTGAAGTTTGTGAAGCGCAATGAGAGAGGCATATGGTTAGGTTTTTTTTAGGATTTGTGTTCTTATCTTCTCTTCATTTATACCCATGTTTTCTCTTCTCCTCTTTGTTTTCGTTCTCCCCTCCTTCTTTTTCCTATTTTCTAAAGTATAAAGATCCAAGAAGGTCATGCTTGATTCATGTTTTGATTTCTCATTTCTCCAAAATTTCTTTTAAGTCTTTACATTGATGTCTTTCTTTTTTTTTTCTCATGCAAGTTCTTTCATGATTGAGTATGTTGTAATATTTGTGTAGGTGTGTCAAAGAAAAGACATCACATTAATTGGTAATGTGGGAGCTAGAATGAGCACATTCTTAATGAGGATTTTGTGAAAATTCAAATATTATTTTGAAATAAAAGAGCATATCAAAATAATATTTATTGACAGTATTAATGAAGAAAAACTAAATATTGAATAGTTTTAATGCCTTAAAGATGGAACAATAAAAACCTTCAATGGATGTCCATGGTTTTAATGCATTAAAGGTTTTGATTCCAATCAAATTATTTCAATGATCTCAAAGTGTTAAAGCTCTATAATCATGAACGGTTTTTATAGTCTTAATATCTCAAAGGTTTCAAAATACCAAACAGTTAAATCATAAACCATTTCAATGCATTATGAAACCCACTTTATTGCCACTATTTGGATAATATAATCATCAATTCAAATATTTGATTTGAATTCAATGAAAAAACCGACCATTGAATGTTATGCCATTATGGGTGCCAACATTCATATCTTGGAGCCTATATAAAGGGCATTGGCCAGGAGTGCAAACACACTGCTTGAGATTTTTTCAGCTCCTCTCTTTCCCCCTCCTGTGTGTTCTTCTACCTACTAAATTTACCATTACCTTTTACTGTTTTGCTCATCTTGTTTTAAAAGAAAGATCCATTTAATCCTGGAGAGTGCCGCATCCTTATCTACCAGTGGTTGTAGAATAGCTCTCAAAGACAGCGTCCTTATCACATGACTCATATTAACTATTTATTTTGTAAGTGCTGACACCAACGGAGTATTCAGATTGGAAGGAATGAAGAAATAAAGATGAATGGGAACAAAGGATGAAGACCAAAATGAGCTGGGATGGATGGAGGCAAGGTGGATGGACTTCCACCTCGCTCTAGGGGGTAGGTATCCATTCATCCTCTTTTGCATCTGATAATGTTGTCACGGATTATATATATAAGCTGTAAAATACTCTCTTGTATAGTAATAAGAAACAAGAAAGGTTTGGTTTGCTGATGAGGAAAGATGAGAGGAATGCAAGTTGGGAAAATTTTTGATAAAAATGCCTATTACTACCAAGCACATCCTTAGGCAACAAGACACTACTTGACACAACTTGAAAGCCTCCCATCCCAAACCGTTATATCTACCCCCACGTCCACAACAGAACACAAAACAAGCCACCACTAATTCTTTGTTTAGGCATGAAAAGGAAACATCGCACATCGTCATTATTCTTTTCATGCATTGCACATCAAATTAAATTTGAGAGGCAGAAAGTAAGATGAAACCCTGACCTGAACGTTATCCCACCATTGAAGTCACGACTAGGAACAAATATTTCATTAATTTAATAACCTCATACACAAATGTTTTGCCAGAAAAAAATTCAAATGAAGTGTAGGAATTAATGACACTAGCAAAAAAAATCCAAAAAGCAAAAGCCATGACATATTTTTTCCAACAAGTCAGGGGATGTTTCACCAACCCCACGATTGGGATCCTCAGATTCCACCATCCTCTCCTTGGATTCTCATAAAATGAGAGAAAGAGAAAGAGACAAACATGCCTCTGTAGTTGGAATCCTTTGCTTGTAAAGGGCACTATCGTAGCAGGGAAATTCATCGAAGAAGATGAGAGCTAGGGATTAATCGGGAGAACACAGGCCCTGTTTGTCATCGTAATTAAAATCACTTATAAATATGTTTCACGTAAGCCAAGATAAAATTATTCTCATATATTTACCTCGTATTTTGTAAATTACGATTAAAAATCTTCGTATAAGCTATTTCAAACGGGGTTGGGGAGGGTGAAGCAGGGTGAGTATTTGAGGGACAATGTGGCATTTTCACATTTTCATTTAATTGTAATCCCTCACATCTAGGTGTCTTCGAACTTCAAATTAATTTGCAACTTCAACGAGATATTGTATTCCTGCAAACTCAGCACACAGCATCCCAGACTTTGGTCTGCATGATGAGCTATGGGCTTATCCAGTCGCACAAGTAGCATTTTGAAGGATCAACGGGGTTTCTTTTGTTTTCTATGTGGGCTTTGTTTCTAGTTGCTTTATGTTGGGATTGCTTGTGTTGCACCTTTAAAAAAAAATAAAAGGCAATGTTTGACGCATTTGGACAAAAAAATTATACTCCTCCGGTCCTTAATATAGGACTCAATTATTAAGTTGGTTTTGGTCCTAAATATAAGACCCATTTATAATATTTATCAATTTTCTCTAAATTACCCTTACAGATACTCTCTCAACATAATCAAATAGAAGAGAGAAATGAGGTATTAAAAAAGATGAGTATAGTGTTTTAGGAAAAATCTGTCACTTTTCTTCTAATTAACTAACTTACCTAACTTCCTTAATCTAATCAAATTAGTTAAATGGGTCTTACATTAAGAACCGGAGGAGTATCTATTTTTACGCCTTTATCTTCTTTTTTTTCACCTTCTTAGTTGGGGGCTATTTTGATAGTTTGGTAAATAAATTGTATAATTTTTTAAGGATTCTGACGTTTGATGAAATCATGCAAAGACACACACAATACTCAATAAAAAAGAAGTCCTATAATAATACTGTCTCTGATCCTAGTTATAAGACTTTGTTTGTAAACTATAAAAGAGGTCTTATAATTAAAACAAAAGGTAATAATTAAAAAAGACTACTAGAAGTGAGATTGTCAATGCATTTAGAAATCATCGCGAAATCTTTTACCTGACAAAAAAGTAAGCGCGTTTCTTTATCTCCATCACTTGCGATAGAGAATCAGAGCCAGGTTTTTTTTTTTTTTGATAAAATAAAATTTCGTGTTAGATAACAAGAGAAAGAGAAACAAACTTATTAAGCAAAGTCCATACTGGTACCTTAACAAGTGAGAATTTAACTACATTACAGAGCAGATGATACGTTAGAGGATGTGGAACTAAAGTGCTGGTGCATAACAAAACTAAGGCCATAACGGAGTGCCATTAACTAAAGTTGTATTGCACCGAGATTTAGCAGGGGAGAGATCCACCATTCATGGAATTTTATCGTCCTGAAAAATATAAGCACCTGAATGCAACGATGTGAATGTGGAGGTCTTCTGATGCGGAATTTAACAAACCAAAAATGACAAGCGATAGTCGCGAGTCCCTCCACATCAAAGTATCAAGAACATCCGTCCTTCTTATATCCCTAGTTGGATTTTGCTGAGGAATCAAACAATTTTTGGAGTGACTTTTGGATGTTGGTGATGGTAAATAGAACTACCACATAATGCGGACAGATTCCAATAATTTTATCATTTGCAATAACCATAAACAAAAGGCCGGGGCAATTGTTGGATAATGTATTAATGTTATATCTTCTCAAATCATTTTAATGGCCAAAGCCAAGACTAAATCGTTTGGCTATCAATGCAGAGGCAGTAATAACGTAAACCTGAGAACCGCAGAATGACAAATTCGATGCCTTTTTCACACTTGTACTCCTGATATCCATACATACAGAAATAAATGTACTTGAAACAACTCTAAACCATATATTAAGTACAGGCTTTGGATTTCTTTAACCATTGGCGAGCAACATCGTATACACAAAGAATATCCATCTTCATGTGCTTGACACTATGAAAATGACTCAAATTTTGAACCTCTCACGACAGAAGAAAAAAATGCAGCGACATTATTTCTTATCTGCTGTAATGCCAACAACAACATTGCTGACCTGTAACAATTAGATTTCTTCCAAGTAAATATTCTTTTCCTGAATGGAAAATCAAATTTTGTGTGCGTGCGCATGTGTTTGGAAGTACAAGGACGAGAAGAGTATTTACCAGTTTCCCACTTGCATCAACAGACATAGGATTTTCAACCAGGACAGTTTGGCTCTGTGGTACAGATTCATTAGACAACAGAATACAAAACAGCCAATACATTCTACAAATAATCATAAGTTAAAAAGTAAACGCATACAGTTGGAATAGAAGGCAATGTTCCAGAGTTGGTTGTTCCATTAGGTCTCTGGACAGGAATTGGAATCCTTCCATTGCTCATCTACAAAGAGGAAGAAGGAGGTGAAGCAGGTAAATGGTTTCAGAATCATAAATATAACACAGATTCAAAGCCAATACCATATTTACAAAATTTTATCTCAAGCTTAAACTGCATCCGCATGACCCAATCATCCTTCCCCACAAAGTAAAAACGGAAAATATGGAAACACCGGAAGGAAAATCAGGGTCTCGAGATCCCATCACTACAGATTCAGTTTCTGAAAATCGTGATCATAAACAGAATTCAGGATCAGAGCCATATATATCCTTCATGTTACATTAGAGTCCCTAACCAATGGTTTTTTTTTTCCCTTTTAGGACATCAGGCCCCAGCCTCTGTTTGGATTAAGGAACGATTAAAAAGCTAAAGGATTCTGTATCTAGCTTGGTACTGAGCTGTATAATACTTTTTTATTAAAAAGAAAGAAAGATCAAAAAGTAACCCTGTATAACACTGAAACTCCAACTTTGGAGTTCTTCACTGGAGTATTGATTGCTATCCCTGCCTTTCGTCTCCTAAGACACCCCAAAGGAAAGGAAATACAATGTATGATCTCGTTTCCATTGTGTTCCTTTCCTTTCGATTCATTTCCAAAATGAAAATAGGACATGGATAGAACGAGTCCATGATTTCAATATGGGACCAAAATTTAAAAGCCTCTCGTGAAATGATTTTTATCATCTTAAATTGGCTGAAAGAAGGGAAGATGATTCAAAAGAATCTGGGCAAACGGTTGAATTCATTGACATTTTTCAATCTGCACAAGCTATAGAGATATATGAAAATACAGAGCAAAGATGCCAGCAACAATGTTTAATCTGTCCCTTTAGTTTTTTCCCGTAATCTGATTCTCATTTGATCCCAATCATTTGACTATTTACAATAAAGAGCATTTAATGTAAATATAACACAAGTCTTGCCACACTCCCCCTGAGGTTCAATCATAGATACAAATCATGTCCAACTTACTAATACAATCTTCAAAACCTGGTTCTGAAAATCCCTTGGTATGGATATCTACAGTTTGGTCTTCAACAGGAATGTAGGTCAAGCAAACTATTCCACCTAAAATATTTTCTTTGATGAAATATCTATCTATTTCAACATGTTTGGTCTTATCATGTTGAACTGAATTGAGGGATATATTTAGAACTGCCTTGTTGTGGCAGTATTACTTTGTGCAATGCAAAATCTACCTATAATTCATTCAATAGTCTTTGAAACCACTGGACTTCGTAGATTTCTGGGGCTACTCCCCTAAATTCCATTTTTGCAAATTCCATTTTTGCACTGCTTCTAGCAATAACATTTTGCTTTTTGCTTTTTACTCTTTCATGTAGGCAGATTACCTCACGCAACTGTGCAACATCCTGTTCTTGCAATGGATCTTCTACCATCTACAAATCCTGTCCAGAAAACATCAGTGAATGCTTCTATCTTGAATCCCCTTCTTGAATAGGAGTCTTCTTCCTAAGGGACCTTAGGATCTTATATACAACTTCTAGATGCACTGCCTTGGCTAAATTTGGATGACACTTTTCCAAGCCAAAAAAAAAACTTTTAGAAAACAGACTTTTGCCCAAACCGATGTTTGGCTACATTTCAAGCTCACTCGCAGAATAGAAAATACACATGAAAAAGCTGATTTTGTAAATGCAAGTCAGAGTAGCTTTTGGCAAACTTTAATTCAGTTTGGCAAATGTCCGTTTTCTAAACTTTGAACCAAGCAAACAATACATATCTTGACTAGCAATACTTACCACAAAAGTAATGTCACATCTAGTGTGTGAGGCTTATATAAATCCACAGAGAAGTCTTGGATACCTTTCTTTCCTTGACCAATTTATCCAGGTCTCCTTCTTTTTGGTCTACTCTATGCAAGTGTCACTTGGCTAGCAACCTAATATCCTTGTTTCAATAAATAGATCAAGATAGTTTCTTTGCAAAATGCATATCCCCTTTCTTGATGATGCAACTTCCATACTGAGAAGTAACTAATTAGTCCAAGGTCTTTTCACCTCAATTTTTGTAGCGAGTATTTTCTCTACTCTATTAATCTCTTTTGCATCATCCCCAGTTATGCCAATATCATCAACATAAAGAATTAGAACTGTTATTATTTTTCCATTCATATTTGAAGACAGCGTGACCTCAAACCAAATTCTAGGAAATTGTTTTAGCCCATACAAGGACTCTTGTTTAACTTGCAAGCCTGATTATTCTTCCCTGGTTTGTTGAAGAAGCCTAGAGGGAGAGTCATATATGCCTTTTAGAAAAGCATTCTTAATTAAAGTCAAGCTGTTGAAAAGGCCCTTCCAAGTTCACAACCAAGAACAGCAGAGCTCTGCTTGTGTTCTTTTGCTAACGGTGCAAATGTCTTGGTATATGCAAGTCTGTAGGCCACCAAGTGAGCTTTACATCTTTCCACTGTTTTGCTCGCAGTGCTCTTAAAATAATAAAATAAGAAAGTCTCTTCCCCAGCGGGAAGTCAACTTCTGCGACTGTCTTGGTTCCACTTGCATATTTCAAGAGCCTTATAATGTCGTTTGGAACCTTCAACCCGTCCAGCTTAGCCATAAAAGCAAGGAACCAAGGTGATAAGGCCTCATACAAACAATTCAAAAGGATCAAGAATACAGAAATGAGTTTATTTTTCCCCAGAGTAATCAGATGATCGACATTAGAAATAGAATCTAGATACCAGAATTATCAACTTCCTTAACAAAATTTTCACAGGAACATTATATCTTCATGATAAAGTGAAATGCAGTACTGCTATGCTTTCAACGACTGATCATTGATATGCATTGACCTGCTGCACATAATTTAGATTATTTATGTAAAAGAGTATGCTGTCCAGACCAAGCCAGTACTATTAAGCAAAACACCAGCCATCAAATCATTTTGGCCAACTAAATGTATCTCAAGATGAGCGTCGTCAGATTATCCAATAAGTTGATACTCTCATGTGATCCGGACTCCTAAAATTATTTCAACTCAACCCTCACACGCAACTATGGTAAATGCAGATCCAGTTCAAGACAGAAAATCCATGCATCACAGTAAATCTACTATGTGATGGGAAGGCTACTGGCCAATCGAGAACATATGATAACCAAATTGATCTTAAAAGGACTAAAAGTATGGCACAGTTCTATTAAAAAAAAATGTATGGCACAATTAGTGATCAGAACAAACTTGGCTCGGAAGACAAGTAACCAGATATAAAAATGCAGTAATAAATCACAACTTTAGGAAGTCTAGATGACGGGATACAAATCTTGATGAATTAAGAAACCACAGAAACTTCATATGGTCAATGCAGACTTCTGTTCTAGAACTTCCAAAGCTTTCTTTTTTTTTTTTTCATTTGAGAATGGAAAGTCAATGCAAACATTTATGCTTCTAACAACTGATATATACTTACACTGACATTAGTAATATAGTGACAAACTGCACATTTGACTGATGGGGCACCAAATGGATACATGAGCGTAGTCCGGCAGTTTCCACAATGCATATGAGCGAGTTGATTAGAGGCTTTAGATACAGACGCAAAACCCACCAAAAGTATATCAGTAAACAGCTATATTCAAATATATGATTGTGCGCATAAATTACTACAATATTACAAGGAATCCATCTTAACAGGACGTGGCATTAAAATTAAATGTGAACCACGCTAATCAACGTTAATTTAAGCACCAAATATCTTGGAGCATCGGAAACAGGATTTTGTGGACACAAGACTCTTCTATTATGGCTTGACATGCCATAATGATAAGCATTGGCCAAACAAAACTCAGACTAATAGGCAATTCAAATTTCTCAACACAAACTTCCTATATTCTTCTAACCATGACGGAAAGCATTTAAATCTTCATTTATTAATGTATCACAATAACTATACATTATATTAATTTAAAAAAACCCATAAATATAATTATCAAACTCTCAGCTCAAAAAAAAAAAAAAATTATCAAACTCATACAACATCATCTATAAAATTATAATTATAGTAAAAACGAATGTATTTGTAAGAAAATAAGCTAATAAATTTCAATGTATCCATAGAGCATTTAATCCACCCAAAACACGAACAAAAACGCAAAACAACTAACCAACTAAACAAACATCATGGTGAACAATAACGATGAGAAAGAGAGAACATGGCCCCGGGGGGGGAGGGTAAAAGGGAAATAGGAAGGGTGCCTAGGGGAGAGGGGCTCAATTCATCATTATTCCAAAACCTGATCACAATGACCTTCTTGTTCCTTTTGTGTAGTCCCTAATAGCTAATTAACAAACCTAACTGACATCCTAACTCACGCTCCCCTATTTATCACATAATAATACCCCCCCTCCTTGCCCTCAAGGTTCAAGTACAATAGTAGTGTAAATTTGTAGAAAGTAACAGAGGAACATAGGCTTTAAAATCTCGAAAATTTCTCTTGAATGGTGAAGGAATGACTAACTTAGCCTTTTTGGACTTGGGCCTATAAGATTGATCAACTTTAACACATCCTTAGGCCCATACAGCTACCTATACCGCTACCTCCTCGTCCCTTTTCCTTCTTCCTCACTTTAAGAAACCAGTACCATTTGTGGGGGCTCCCACCATATGACTACCAGCCGTGTTATTGACTTTTCCACACAAAACTGGAATACACAACCTAGTTAGAGACCTATGTGTATGAGAATCATTCCTTCTACCTAGCACATGTCCATATGCCCCTTTTCGTTGAACCCATGCTTGTGAAGATATCAAGAACATGATAAGTGATCGGTCCATTCCTCACCACATTAACACTCATCCATACACCTTGACTCTGGGATCCGTGGGAAAGAATGGAATGAACAGTGGCAGCAGAAAAGCAGAAACAGATAGCGATGGTTGGAAAAAGGGCACAAACAACAACAAAAAAAAGCAAAAGATAGCAGCAGCAAAGGAGCCAGGACAAATGGCTAAGGTGGAATGGATAGCAACAAAGGACCTACTTCTACAATAGCCTGAAGAGGTAGACACTTTGAAACTCTCATGGGCTCCAAATCAAAGCTGCAATAGACATAAGCAGACAAGCCTTGGGTGTCTCATTTAAGCAAGGCCACATCAGCAATTCTGTTCCTGAGATACCTCCTTGTAGGTAATGTGCAGTTCAGAGTTCCAGCAATGATTTGCCTATTAGCCCCGTTGTCAACCAATTGATGACCACTAGTAAGAACAAGCCAAGAATCCGTCTTGACGGCGTCATGGGCCAACCCAATGGTTCACGCAACCTGTCATTTTTCTTCTTGGGAACTGACCGAACAAAACATATCTAGAACATGGCTTCTTTTTACACTTTGTTCCAAAGTTCTCACATGGCTGCTAACTCATTAATCATCACTAACAAGGTTTTTTTGTAGAATACCCCCATTTTTTTTTAGCTTCATTGTGATGCTCCAAACCCACTCCATATCCTTACTGCCGAGGATGGAGTGGCTTTGATCCCATTGTTGTGTAATAACAATAGGAAAGAGGGAGGACGAAGGAAAAGAGAGAGGAATAGAGACGGGGGGAAGAGAAGGATTCAATTTATTATTATTATTACTCCAAAACCTGATTACAATGACCCTCTTATTCCCTTTTATAGGCTACAATCCTTGATGCCTAATTAACTAACCTCACTAACTTCCTAACCAATTCATACCCCGATTTACTACACAACGCATTAGCTCAGAAGACACTTCCAATCCTTTTGTGAAACCACAAGGACCAATCGCCTTTAAGGTTTGTTTATACCTATAAGGGAGGCCTCACAAATATTGTTTTCACAAAGAAGTTTTAGCAGAAGAACCTCAGACTAAAAACTCTTCATCCCATTCTAACCACATACACCACAAGCCTATCAAGTGTCAAAGGACTTCACGGTCCTTATTGCCGCCAAAATACTTTAAAAATAGCAAGAAAGAAACCCTGAACTTGATTATAAATACTTCAAAATGGTACCACGGCTTAGTCACCAAAAAAAAAAAAAAAATTGCCATAGCTGTCTTCTAACATCTATGCATGAATCTCAGCTAGCAGATTCAAAATTCCATAACGATCAATTAAACATGAAATCAAAATCAAGCTTTCACAGCTGCATGAGTTGAAGTCATCCTTTTCTATAATGTAGACAAGAGGAAATAAGCAAGGATAAATTGAAAGAATCAACAGATTAACGGGTTTAGCCAATTCAATGACACAAACAAGAAATCACCCCAGGTATGAGATTTCTGTATAAATGCTGCTGTCTGGAAACACAAAAGGTAGTCACCCCATAATCAATGCAATGTGACCAAGCTTCACACATCTAGCAACAAGCAAATATATTGCACCTGACGCAAGGTTTACGGTTTGACAGCAAGAACATCTCACACTAGGAGCTCCGCGTGTGTACATTAGCAATGTCCGACAACCTCCACAATAAAGCTGAGACATTTCAATTCCTGCAAGTATAATTGAAAAACCAAGGTACTTGAGCAAGCATCCAGTTAGAGGCTGACCAATTATAAATGCTAAATCCAGCAGGCTGCATGGTGAATTTCTAGTTTCTACTCCCATGCACTCCAAAGTGAATAATACATATTTTAAACAGTGAAAGGTAGAATGTACTTTGATAGAAAAATAAATTATGTTTTGGAGGAAAGGAGGATAAGACATCCTCACAAAGAACACCAAATCCAAAGAGAAGGGTGAGAAACTTCGCCTATTAAAAAATTCAAGTAAATAAATGTAGCAAAGCAGCTTAGTCTCGTTTGAAATGACAACCCCTTTAAATTGCCATGAGCAGAGCACCAAACCGACAACATGAAAATAACCTTCCTCAGAACACTGTCAAAGTCATAGAAACAATGAAATACCCTAAAAGTTTAAGCATTATTCTTCCTAAGAGATCATTATTCATCAGTTTTCACTTAACATCTTAAAGTCTGGGGTTAAAAATAATCCTTGATATAGGAGCCTCTATGACCAAATGATTAAAATTTTATAATAGGTGTTAGGTAATATTCATGTACTATCGTATGATTAGGACAGAATCATTGCATAGGGAGTATTGATATGATATCTGTAATTGTCACAGGAAAGTTAATGGCAGTTAGACTCATTGCTACTGTTATTGATATTGGCCATATGAACGAGCCTTCATTAGTTTCATAAGAACCATACTGCTCTTGATAACTTTTTTCATT